TGGCCGTGCCTGAGGGAAGGGGCCGGCTGGGGCTTAGCTCAGCGTGTTCCCGTCCTTCTGCCTGTGCTCCCCTCGAGGGGAGCCGCCCGTAACGGTGTGCGAGGGCCTCTTGCCTGAGCCCTTGTCGCTTGGTTTACTTTTTGAGGAAAAAAATAAAAAATTTGACTTGAGGTCGAATCCTGGTCGTAGGTAAACGGCTACCGAACATAGGCGTGAGCATATGTATATATCTGTAGTAAACAGAACAGTGTCCAACAGAGATTTGCTGGCTGCCCGATACCGTGCTGTAAACGACAAGAGAAACGCGTCACCCTGGGGTGCTGCTGCGGGGAACGTTTCCTGCCGTGGAAGCTCCTCGCTGTGCGTTCTTGGCTGCACCTGAGCGCCTCTCTGCCCCTGCTGCCTGCTCTCATGTTAAAGGAGGCTGTGCTCATTTGCAGGAAGCTGAAGCTAGTAGATGAGCAGTTATTGGGCTTGATAAGTCCTGACTGTAATGGTCAGTGTATGGAGAGTTTGTAGCTATCTTGTTTCTGTCTGCTGTTTTCCTTAGAGTTGTTTCGTTTCTAAAAAAAAAAAAAACAAAAAAAAAAACTTTTAACTTTTTTGTTAGTTTACGTAACTTAGTTCTTTGGAGGAGAAGTTTGATAACTTCTAAGTAGTCTCTTCTAAACTGGAAGTTGTCTAAAAAAAAAAAAGTTAAGCTTGCTTTTTATCTTGTGACAGGTTAGACCGGCTTTTCACCAGTGAGCATTAAGATCCTCTAACCATTTGGGGTTTTTGCTTTTTGGAAGTTAATGCACTGTTATAACTAAGAAGATGCCTTGCAATATTGTATAGGTAATTTATAGTTATTAATTTTATTAGTGGTGTAATTAAACCAATCTCTTCCTCCCCTGTGGTGCTGTATATTTATGTGGGGTAGATGAGGAGACCTGGGAGTTCAGTTGTTCTTTTTTTTTTTCTTTTCCTAAGCAAATTTAAATTAGACATATTACCGGACTCAACTCACTGAAGTTGAGAACTCTATAATTTACCTTAATAGTTCTCCACTGTTCTGAAAATCTTTTGTCTAGTATGTACCCCCCTGTGAGGATCCTATGGTGTTAAATCTCCAGATGCATTGAGAAGTTTTCTGTCTTGTGAGACACGTCAAGGGGTTAGGAAACAGAAGAGTGAGTAGTCCTAAAAGCTGCACAGAACACAATGATAGAATATTTTTGAATGCTACAGTTGTTAGTGCTTACATGCTGTTACTGCTCTGTTCTTGTCTAGAAATTATTTTCTGTTGCAGGGGTTCATGGCCTACCTTCTTTTCTGCATTCTTCTGCAGGTGAGACAAATGTGAACAATGAGAAGAATGCACCTACCCCTGTAGCTGGAAGGAGACTCGCAGCTCTTGGAACAACAGTAAGACTCTTCTGTGGTGTCTGTAGCACTGTTAGATTCCAGCTAAAGCTTACTGTGGCTAATCAATTCATGTAGACCCTTTGGACGACAACTGTTGACCTACCCGAGTAAACCATGAAACGTTATTGTGCCTGTACTCCTTAGTAACTAAGAAGGAAAAGCTAATTGAAATTGCAGCATCTTTGGGAATCACCTTCTGATTACTTGGGTCTACAGAGGGGCTTGTTGTCTTTGGTGTTACAATGTTGGGTTTTTTGCCTCAGGCTCACCATGTAGTTACGGTGTGGCTACTGCTTTTAAAGATGATCCTTTTTGTGTTTGTGTTGTTAAGGTGGACAGAAACCTAGTGGTAAAAGAAACAAAAAGGGGATGATACTGTATATCCAGGTTCTCAGTGCAGTGTGCGATGGTACCGATTTGAAGATGCATAGGTTAACAAGTTAAATTATAACCCTGGCTTACTAGTTGAGTTTATTAGTACTCATCATGTAGGACAGAATTGTGCAAACCAACCTGTGGTTAAGAGATGAAGAGTTCAGGGGCTGCTAATATCTCAAACTTTCTTAATCTTCCTGTCACAATGGTTGTGAGCTATCCATTCAGAGTAATGCTTATGAGAAAGTACAACGGTAAAACCCATCCTAACCTCATACGTGTCTGCCCTATGTGTGGGAGGGTTGCTTGCTCTTTATGTTGTGTGTAAGTGTATATCGTTAGTAGTGTTATCTATATGAATGCATCTAATATTTAACTGTGTTGTTAAGCTAGTATACAAATGGACCTAGAGATTAGTTTTAATACTTGCAATATTTAAGTATTTCTACATCTGTTTTCAAAAGCCATCTAAACAGACTCTGAAGCCTAAAAAAGATCTTACCCTTATGAAGGAGAAAAAGAAACGGAATACACTGGAGAAAGAGGTATGAATACATTATGTGAGTGCAATCGTGTAATCTGTTTCAAAAACACAAGCTGGTGAAATTAGCCTACAAGTATCTCTGTGCAGAGCAGAGATTATCAAATATTATGGTATGTAGAAAACATTGGGTGTGCTAATAGATTATTATATAGCTAATAATTAATTCCTATGGATTGTGAACAACTATGCAGCCAGTTTGGGGGTTTTCTTTTTTAGGAAAAGGGGAAAACCAAGTCTTACATTCTCTATTCCAAAAAAAAGTTCTGTTTTATTTAACAATTATTTGCTGAGATTTTTGTTTAATTGTCATAACTTTCAAGTTTATAGGGAGCTAGCTTTTCCTTACTAGTACATTTCTGTTTACTAATCTATGGCCTTGTGTCTCAAATGTCGCATTCTGTCTTTCTATTCCACAGCCAAAGAGGAGAGTTGGCTTCTGTTGAAAGTTGAAGCTAAGACTACTCTAACTTGAACATAGTGTACTTGCTCACTAAAATAAAATAAGTCAGATGAAATGCTAGGAGTGCAATTCTATAGTGTATAATAATAGAGAAGGTTGGCAATTCTGTTACCTCCGTTCTTGTGAGTAACAGAGTTGAAGATGGATATTCTGAATGAAAGTTAATACAGTATGGATACTTAGCCTCTCCAAGAAAACTGTGAGCATAAGCTAATGATGTCATTTAAGGAGAATAATGTCAGGAAATAAAGCAAAATACCTCTTCTGTTTTAGATTCGTGCATTAGTGAGAGAGTATGGAGAGCAGAGTAAAAAACTTGAGGCTCTGGAGGAGGCTTTTGCTAAGATGGAAGCAAAGTTCAAGTCTTCAGTTCGGGAGAAAACATCTCTTTTGGCAAATGTTGCTTGTCTAAAAAAACAGATTCTGGAAGTAACAAGGATCAATGAACTACTGAAGTCAAAGGTATTTGGACAAATAAGCACGTATTTGCATTGTATTTGCTGTTATTAAGCTCCCTGGGCAAGAGGAAAATTTAGTTGCTGATCAGCACTTGTTTTCATGTTCCCCCTTCCCCTTCGTGGGGGCAGGGGTAGAGTGTGTTTGGTTCGGGATCTTGTGTGCTTCTAAGGGCAGGGTGGGACTTGCTAACAGCCCTCGCAAGGGTGGGCAGAGATCAGTGTAGTGGGTGGGAGGGGAATATTTTTAAAAGCTTTTGTGAAGAGTAATTCATATGAAGGTGTTATGCTTAATGGTTTTATATTCATCTCTAATAAGCTGTCTGAAGATGGTGTTGAGAAGAAGATGAGCAGCCTATGCCAGGAATTAATGAAGCTCAGAAACAAGAGGGATGGTAAGGAAAAGGTACGACCATTTGCACCGTACAGGATTGTAACTCTGAGCTGCTCAGGAACAGACAACAAAGGGCTTACAAGAGAAGTGCAAAGCACGTTTTGTTTCTGTTCTCAACTCAGTAGCTTCTTGTGCTTTCTGTAGAGTCAAAATAAAGACCAAATGACAAATGTTCTTGATTTTTTTCTGTTGATGTGCAGAGTAAATCTGACTTCAACTAAGGAAGCCTAGAAATACCTGTGTTACAATATCAGTTTGTTGGTCCGAATATTAATTTATTTGAAAATCCGTGGTCTGAAGTATAATTGAAGCTCTTATGCTTGTGTTTGCGTTTTTTGGGTGGTAGTGGTTGTTATTTTAACAAATGGCTAATGTCTTTACAAAGGGTTACTTTGAATCACATGTGGTGTAGTAGCAAGCACTAACATTAAGTTGTAGGTATGAATTAATTTCAGTCTACCATTGCCTCTTAGACAATTCTTTTTTTTAATGACATCTCATTTTGGTGGTACTATTTGTTTTTGTTTTAAGGCTGCACTTGCAAAGCAGGAAGACATGGAAATGAAGCTGCCAGAAGTGCAAAGGAATCTTGAGCATTCAAAAGGAGAAGTAGCACAGTTAGAAGAAAAACTGTAAGTAGTAAGAAAGGACTTTTACTTAGATGACATAAAATTATCTAGCTGTGCTTCCATGCTTAAACCGTAGAGAGCACGTAGTTTAGGGGAAATACAGGCTGTTGTCCTACAGAGAAGGAAAAGAAATTATTAGTATTTGTGACCTGTAATAAATTTGATGGAATTAAGTTTTCGGGTCTGCTGTATTCTTAGAAAATGAACATACAAAATGTTGTTCCTCTAGTGTATCCAACCTTTTTCCAAAAGACAAACCACATCATCTCAACCCTTTGTCTTCCAGTGTGGTAAGGGTGGAGTTTTTCTTGGCTCTGGGGTGGGGAAGACATGTATTTTGAGAAAGGAATTGTCATTCTTCTTGGAGCAAGACATTCCTATAGATGCGATACTTTGGTGTCTGGCCCCTTAGACTACCAAGTTAGAAATAAGTAAGAATGAAAAAGCATTGGACCAGGAGTTAGGATCTCAACTCAGTAGGCAGGCGTTTTACACAGATTCAGCGAACACCTGTGTGTTCTCCAGGTAAGTACTGAAGAGCAGTTGTTGTGCCTTCAAAGTTGTTGCATAGTAGCCACGTTCCCTGGAGAAAGGCAGCTGCCAAGCGTCCTGGCTGAAGGAGCTCTATGTAGGGAGTTCCAGACCAGCACTTTCTGTTCTGCCCAGTGTCATTTGCCACACAGGAACAATGTGCTAACATAGGCTATTTCTGAGGATGGCAGCATAAGAAAGTTGAACTTAAGGTATATTCTATGTCAATTTTGTCAATTTTTCCTTATGCTTTCTGTACCTAATGTCCAAATGCTCAAATATGAGCAGAATTTTTCTACTTATCTTGGAGGTAAAATACACAGAGCTAATAATGCAGGTAGTGCATTTCAAAGGGAGGAAATGATAATTTGTCTAGCTAATGCACCTGTTCTGATGGCTCAGCATCTTTACTACAGATGACTAGACTCTCTGGAACAGTTATGAAAAAAGGGTAGAATCACCTCTCAGAGCCAATACCCCCTTCTCATCCAAACTGCATTCTGAGAAGTATGTATTGCTACTAAGTCATGATTCACTGGTTTATTTCTGCTTGCTAATCTGTAAACAAGTAGCTCTGATGAAAACTTCCTGGTTTTAGGTCTGCTACTGAGAGAGAGAAAGTGGAAGAGAAGTCTGACACAGAAAAACTCCTGGAATATATCACGGAGCTCAGGTAACAACAAATTGTTCGTGAGTTGGACTGGCTAAGTTAAAAGGCAGTAAATCTAAGCGTCATTTACAACTGGTGAAGTAGAAACTTGGCAACAGTTCTATTTAATGCTATTAAGATAGAGGGAGAAAATAAATAATTTTTCCACACAATGGAAAGGAGTCGTAAGATTATTTTCATTATCTTTCTAAATGTCTCTGCTTTTCTGGGCTAAGCAATACTATGGAGGAATTTTGTATCGGGGACCTGAAATCCTGTTTTTAGCCTGAGTTATTTATACATAAATCAAGCTAAATCCTTTTCCTCTAAGGTACTGACAGTAATGTCTTTTAGCTTTTGTTTGTAAAACAATGTGCAGTAGGGCAAAAAACCCTCAATCTTGGCTTCTGGTGAAATGTAAGATAGTCCGATTTGCATTTAAAAGTTGTGATGAATTATGTACGTATGAGCATCAGTCTGATTCTAAAAATTACTAAGCCTGTGCTTTGTAACCAACTGAAACTCTGACCAGTCTTCATGGTCATGTGTTCCTGTCTCAGAACATGGTGAAATTACCTAAGTATTTACATTTGAATAGTTTGCTCTTCACCCTTCTCCCCCCTGTCAATGTACGCATTAAGAGATTCCTTATTAACTGCTATATAACCCAAGGTTTTGCTTATTATCTGTCACAGCAGCCTTTTAAAAAACCTGGATGGAGTAGTCACCTTAAAAATCTATTATAGTGGCTAGTTCTGTTTTAATCAAGCCAATATATTGTGTTCGTGTAATTATGTAAGTTTCTTTTAAAACAAAACATCAATGCTGAAATCAATTGCTTTTAATTTAAATTAACCTGTCTTAATGTGCAAAAACTTGTGTCTGGGAAAGCAGGCAATGTGTAAGCCTGCAAAAAAAAAAAAAATCAGTTGTAACAAATACCTGAACTTTTTGCCTACAGTGGTGTTGCAGAAACAGTTGAGAAATACAAACTAGATGTTGCCCAGATGGAGGAGACACTGATGAAGAAAGACCAAGAAATCGAGATCCTGATGGATACCCTCAAAACAAAAGAGGAAGAATCATTTAAAATTATAGAAGAACTGACTGAAAGGTGTGAATTGCTGCAGCAAGAAAAAGGTAATTGTTAGTGCTTGTATAGGTTTGTTCTAAAATGTCAGTTCAGACTGGTTAAAAGTCATGTCTCTGAGCGCCAGCTGGGAACAGGCATATTTCTAACAATATGAAAACTACCTTGAGTATGGTGTGCTTACTCTAAATTTACATTATGGTGGAGGGTTATTAAGGTAGATAATATAGAAATGAAAATTGTTTACGTAGTAGAAATGGCTTTAGTCTGAAAGCTGAACACAAATGACTGGTTCCTTACTCTTCACTAAGAAAACAGTATGATGTTGTCTCAATCCACTGTTAGCAGCTTATGCACAAGTTCATTGAAGTATTGGGAATGTGTCTAGGAATCTTTCTTCTTTTCCTTCCCACCCCATCTTCTCCAGAACCATCAACTTTGCAGCCTGAGACTGGTACTCAGTTCTCTGTGTACCAGTTGGCTTGCATGTGCTAGTATTCTGTGGAAGAAGCTTTGGGGAAATCACTTCATTGTTTTTCCTCAGCCATACGGCTGCTTTAATAAAGGCTAATTGCTTGATCCATGTTAAAATTATTTTTCAAGTGGTCTACTTTCAGACAATTTTGAGGAGTTTCCGGATGTGCTAAAGGTGTAGCTTTGGGGTTTTTTTTTCTTTGCCTAGCTAACTATAAAGCTAGGATGGAAGTTCTATGAAGAATAGATGCTCTTTGAAGAGGGAGAAGGGAGTTTGTGTTATTCTGACACTTCTTCTATGCAGAGAAAGAGTTGTCTGAGAGCAGAAGAAAATTCCTGATTATGAATGCTGAAATAGGAGACCTGAAGAAAAAAATTGTCTTAGAAGAACAAGCACACCAAAAACTGCTTCAGAAACATGAGGAGATGGTCTCTCAGCTGCAGCAAGAGAAGGTAAATATAGACTACAAATTATTCTAAAAATAGACTCTAATCCCACTGACTGGCACTAAAGGTTCTGGTGCTGGTTATACATGAGACTGCTCTGTTAATGATAGTCTCATCTGTGGAATGTACTGGTGGGTGCTGACCAGCAGAAACTGTCTGTGGTCCAATATCTCTAAGAAGAATAGCTGTACGATGGATGCTTTGGTTCTTCCTGTACATTTGACCTTATTCTTGTGTTTCAAGTTCGAACATTGCAAACTAGTCTTTAATATCTAGCAAAGTACGGGTAGGTTTCAAAATCTGTGATATTCTGGCCTGCAGGAGTCATCGGCATCAATGCACCAGGAGTTACTACAGTTGAAAGACGAGGTAACAAGTGAAAGACATCTTCTTCAAGAGGAGCTGAATGACACAATGAATGAGCTGAATAAATTACATGCTAAGGAGAAGAAAGCTGAGAAGTTGGTGAAGCGGTTGGAACAAGAAATCAAATCTCAAGCTCTTGAACTTGGGCAGATGGAAGTAAAGTTGAAAGGGTTTGTCAAATAAACTTTTGGATTCTAAAACTTGGAAAAGGAAAAAAAGTAACATAAGCAAAGCTTTTGAGCTAAATTCAGGTTTTAGGGACCTCAACAGACCTAAATTTATTTCTTGCTGGTTGTTGATTATTGATAATGGTTATACCTCATCCACCTGAGTGACTTAAATTAGTTTTATATTGTCTTCAAAACTTTAATTAGTATGCTGAGACTTGCTTGAAATGCTAGTACTGCAATAATATGATGCTTCTGTGAAGGGTAAGCTAAGTGCATGTCATATGGGATGTTTCTTGCCTGGAGAGGGCAATGACTGTGAAAGATTTCTCAAGCAAGTTGTTTATTCCTTGCATATATTGAAAGTTTAGCGTTAGGTGTTTGATCTACTCTGTAGCTATTTTCGAAAATAAGGGGAGGGGGAAATGCTTAGTTAAATCTACTATTAAAATGGTGCTTCAATACATGAGAAGTTGTGACAGAAGTTACTGGTTTGTCACAATGCATTGCTGACACTGCAAGCCTTCTGTAGCTGATAAGAGCATTTGGTAATGTGTTCAGACATACTTAAGTGGAATGCTGATTTTTTTTATTTTAGGAAGAATGCTGAGTTGGAGCAAATCAATGAAATGCGCAGCAATGCTGTTTTGCAAATCCAAGAAGAACATAGCAATACATTGCGTAAACTTGGAGAGACTGTTGCTGAGTTTGAAAGGTATTTAAGTTTCATGAAGATCTAGGACAGGGATGATATCTAAGATGACAAAAAATAGGCTGTTTATTCATGTGACTTGGTACTTAATGCTGTATATGAGTGTTGGTACTGTACTAGAGCAGAGGTTTTTGTCGTGGAGTATATGATGGCATTAAGAGATGAATTTATTCCTTTTGGGTACTAATAAAGTGTAACGACATGTTTGGTATCTAGTTCAGGAAACTGGATGCTTCTTCTTCCAAAGTGTAACCAATTACATTACTCAGGTTCTCTTGAATCTTGATGAGAGTTAGAAGTAGTCATGGTGTTCTCTTTGCGATAAAATCTCTTGCAAAAAGACAGTTTAGGCTTAAAACTTGCACTCAATCAAGATTATTTTCCTACAGTTCTTGCGGATCTTTCCTTTCAAATTGTTAAGGTTGTGGAAGTATTTAAATAGTGATACTGTTATTGATAAGGATGCAAGGCACCCATGAAGGATCCAGTGGGATATTTGCTAATGCCAACTTCAGATATAGGTCTTTTGGTGTTTAAAACAAGCTTCAGATGTAGTAGGTCTTTGGTGTTTTAGAATGTCTACCAACATGTAAAAATACTTGTATTGCAGAATCTGTTGTAGTGTTACTGCTTCTGGTTTTCTGGAAATGTGGGGTTTTCTTAAACTTAGGATTTATCAGTGCCAGAACACGGCCATATATCTAGATTATAAAATCTCTTGTAGTCGTTAGCATGAGCTTGTATTGCCCTAGTAAGTCCTGAACATGTCAATCGGTATTTTGTGTAAAGTAACATGATTTTTCTTATTTGCATTGGAATACCAGTTACAAGAAGACAGTAGCTGAAGAAATAAGCAGTCTTAAGCTGGAGAACACCTCACTGCAAGAAGAAGTTGCCGACCTAAAAAAAATAGGCCAAGTTAATCTACAGCTGCTTCAGGAAGCAGAGAATACGAAAAACAAAGCAAAAGAAGAATGTGCAAGGTACTAGGCAGACTTTTCTGTAAACTAAAGAATGCCAGCTAAGGCTTGCCTTCTGAACTAGAACTTAATACAGTATTTTACCAAATGAAATCACTATTTGGTGTAAGCTTAAGTTTCTTCCTTTTCCCAGTGCAGAGGGTTGAAAATATTGGTAGACAAAATTGATTTCATATGCATTAGAAAGCTGGTCTGCTCACTCAATTGCTTTGACTTCTTCCTTTATGTGGAACATACAGGAAAAGGAAAATTATGCAGTGAAATATGCTGGAATCTTGTCTTTGTCAGAAATAGCAGTTACAGTGACTGCTCCACAGATAAGATCCCTGGGGCAGACAAACAAATACTTGATGCAGAGCTCACCCTTTGCCACTCTGAATAACATGTCACCTCAAACTCTGTTCACAAGCAGATGCCAGTTAACGATCACTTCAGAGAGGTAACCAGAGGTCCTCTCTCTGCCTGATACATGGCACTACAGCGCAGCTTATTAGTATCACCCAAGAGTTGTCTTGGGTCACTAGCAGGGGACATGTTTCTCTGACTGTCTCACAGCCGCTTTGTGGCCTATGTTCTTCCAGCTCGCTCTGCAGAGCGTGAGAAAGTCCCTTGCTGTGGGCAAGTCACTGACTATTTGATGAAGTGGGGCAGTTTTGTTTTAAAAGGTCACTGTGTACAATCACCTGTATTGGGCAACTATGCTCTGATCTTTTTTTAACTGTTGCATGTGGATAAATGACTTAACTGCATGAAAATGCCATTTTGGCCAAACTGAATGGGGCATTTCTAATCTTCCCAACTCTCTCTTTGATTTATAAAATGCTTCTGTAAGTGTTTGTAATGCTTCTCCTGTCATTCACCTCTTGCCAGTATATTGTGATTCTCCTTTGGAAAAATCTTAGCTTACCAGCTTATTTTAAAACATCTGTGCTACGTAAGATACTGCCCTGTCTTTCCTACTCTCCTGCGTAATATTGTGTCCAGTTTCTGTTAGAGCTGGTAAAAGAAAAACAGCTGAAGAATTCTTTCCTGTTGGATTTGCTGGTTGAGTGTGGCAGGGGAAGGGTTCTTAGTCTCTACCAAGGTGACATAACAAACAGCTGAGGCTGGAGAGGGAGGTGTAGAGTTTTTGAACCCTTGAGTACATCCACACTGAACAATCTTGACTAGTTTGTGCTTGAGCAAACCTTGGTTATTAAAGTCTGACTACTAAAGTGTCTTCCACTAAAAGCTGCTGGCATTATACTGTCATGAATAAGAAACACAATCTTTCCTTGCTTCAAAAGCACTGCTTGCTTCCTCAAAGGAGAAGTTAAAAATACTGTACCCCTTGAGCTTGATTGCTTTCTCTATTGTTGTTCTCTTGTAGCACTGTTTGTGCAAACCTTTATTTCACTCCACCTACTAACAGCTCTTCAGTCGTGGTTATTTGTGTTTTCAGATTTAGAGTAGTGTAAAAAAACAAAAAAAAATTAAGGGTTTATTAAGGATGGATGATATTTTCCGCAGGATGCTTTTAGAAGTCCAGACAAAGCTTGCACTGAAAGAAGCAGAAGCGGAGAGCACAAAAGAGTCTTGCCTTGCACACATGGCTAAACTTCAGGAAAAGCTCGAAGAGCGAACTGAAGATCTGAAAAGAAAACTTGAAATGGAAAGATCAAGGTAACTTTTCTCAAACTGAACTGTCACGTTACAGCATCAATTTTTAGTGTGAAGAAGTGCTGAGAGCTAACAGTGAACGTAACAGGAGTCCACTTCTTGCTTTGTAGGAAACATGAAGATGTGACCACTAGCTTAAAAGAAGAAGTAAAGACCTGGCGTAAACTATATGAAGATTTACATAACAAAACTAAGCCTTTTCAGGTGTGTTATGAAGTAGATGTTTATTAGTGTCTGAGTTAACGCTTGTGTGGTTGACTGGAGTTCTAATTTGGAGAAGTAAACATGCTATTGCCCATTCTAAGGCATTTATCCTGAAATGGTTTCCTAAGTTACTATCGCTTGAGCCAGGTATTCCCCTTCCCAAACTAGTCTTTCTTTGTAGATTTCAGTTCAGTAAAAAGCCATATTTAATTTAAAGACTTGTAAGAGATTCAATATGTATTTCAGCAACAACTGGACGCGTATGAAGCAGAGAAGAACGTGCTCTTAAATGAGCATGGTGCAGCCCAAGAAGAACTGAATAAACTAAGCGATGCGTATGCTAAACTACTTGGCCACCAGAACCAGAAGCAAAAAATCAAGCATGTTATGAAGTTGAAAGAAGAGAATACCCACCTGAAGCAGGTTTGTGAAATGACAAGTTAGGAATCTTTTAAGGTACTCATTTGCTTGATTCCTCTGTTGGCCTGAATATTCATAGCCTAATCCTGCAACCTAGTTGCTTTCTGTGGTTCTTAGATTCCCTTCAAGAGCTAGACTAGAACAAACCACCAGCCTCCAGGAGCAGCAACAGAATCTGTTTTAGTTGTGACTGAATGTATGATATACAGAGGGGTCACCAGTGCAAACAGCTACCCCCACTCTTAGCTTGGTTGGTTTTTCTGACCTCTTTTGGAGGTTCTAGACTCAGTAAACTTGTCGGAAAGCAGCACCTGAAAGTTTCAGGCTACAATACTGCTCAGTGTTTCTATACAGCAATTATACAGTGGTGCTGGTTTCTGTACACCTGTGTGTTTGGTTTGGGCTTGTTTTTTAACACCACCAATAATTCTGTAATTCTGTATGTATGTTTGTGTTTAGCATTACTCAAAAGGGCTGCTTGAGTAAATGATGAAGCAGGCTTTTGCTCTGTTCTCAGCCTAACTTCCAAGTATTACATCTTCTTTAGGATGTTTCAAAACTGCGTGCATTGCTAGCAAAAGAAAAGCAAACCAGTGGGGATCTTCAGGAACAACTATATACGATTCAGAGCATTAGGCACTTTGATCCTGCCAAAGGTTTCCAGCACGATAGCAAGGAAAATATTCCTCCAAAAACTCCTTTTAAAGAAGGTAAGCTTAGATATTGATGTAGCCATGTCTCTATACCTCTTAGGCAAAAAAGGTGTGACAGTCTTGCAGAGTCTGCATTTGGGGCAGGAAGGCGAACGGCCTCTCCTGTGAGTTTCACAGCAGATGCTGGAAGGCTGCATCGATGGGCACTGCCAGCGTGCCGGTTGGTTTTGTGCTTTCCAGCCCAGTTCCTTAGAACTTGACCTGAGCAGGTGGTGTGTCAGGTCAGAAGAGTTTGATGGTGGGTTTACAGAGAATTAGCTGGTTTGCATGGTCTTGGAAGATGTGAACTTTGTTTTGCTGTGTGTATCACCTGTGATTTTACTATCTGCCATCCAGCTGACACCTTGCAGCCCATCAGGCCCTAGGCAGTGTCTCCTGCATGGGTGGCAGGCGTGACAGTGGCTCAGCCGGAGGCTGGAGACCTGCTTCTTGAGCTGCTACCTGGCAGGACCTTATCCTGCTGTAGGTGTACAGGTAAGATGCAGAAGGCCTGCAGATGAACGTGGAGTGGAGCAAGAGCACAGGGGTGCATGAAGGGAAGCAGTGTATGCAGAGAATATGGGGAAGTACAGATGTTAACCAGACCTTCATTTTACAGTGTGTTCTGGCGTCTGAAGTTCTGGCTTGACTGGTCAGTGCAGTGTAGCGCCTTCTTCCCCCAGCAGACAAATAATTACTTGATGTGGTGGGAGCAACAGTGAAAACTCCAAATTTGTAATATTTTTCCATTGCAGGTAACAAAACCAAAATGTAACTTCTTCTTGGTATTAAGAAACATGTCATAAATTCATGTACTACGGAAGACTTCAACAGACTACTTGCAGGAGGTGAACCTGGATGCTGTATATACTACAAATTAGTAGGAGTAGTAGTGAAATCATCTAAAATTACGTATTTTTAGAAAAACTATGCTTGGTCATCCTCTTAGCCACGGGGCACTGTATGCTCCAGACTCGTGGTAACATGGTTGTGCTCTTAACTCCCCAGTGTTCACTGTTACACTTTTTTTGTATGCAGAAGCTGCTGAGTTTGCTCTTGACAGAGTAGCTTAAGTTCAGAAAGGGTGAATAAGCACTGGAGAATAAGGGTGACAATAAAATCTGTTTTCATGAGATGCTTTTTTTATATATATTCCATGTTTACAATTTTATATTCAATTACATATTTCCGGGATCAGTTCCTTTCATGTTCTGGAATATACCTTCTTTTTAATTGGGAAAATATAATTTATCAATAAATTATTTCTGTGATCACCCATCTCACTGTATGGTATCAAGATCTCGGCTGTACTTAGTTAAATCTAAAATGAGGAGCTGCTAGAATCCTCAACCTGCTTGAGGTATTTAGAGCCCTCCTCCTGTTCCTTCTAAAAGGAAAATGGCAGAAGACTCGGTGCTAGGGCTTTGAATTAATTTTACACACACAATGGCTGCACTTGCTCATGCTGGCTGTTACGGAGTAAAAATTGAAGTTCATAGAGAACTACTTAAATGGTACCCCAGGGGATAAACCCAAAGCTTAACAAGATTCAGAGCTGCATGTGATACGGGGCTTGGATTAGCGTTTTGGTTGCAAAGGTCAGGGGAGCTATTGCTTCTCCCAGCCCACGTGCTCTCTGCAGGCACAAGCAGACAAAGGGACAAGTGCGCGGTTGAACTGCAATAATTTCCTGTTGTAGTTGGGGACAATGCCTGAAATGCTGGTGGAGATGGCGCAGGTAAGGCTCTGGGTATTTGCATTACTAGATCACTGCCATGCTTTGATTCCAGAATCTGGGGAAAGGGAAACAGGAGGAGAGAGACAATTATGCTTCAGTCTCTGTGAATTACAGTCTGAAATGTGAATTTAATGAGGGGTGCATTTAGTCACCCAGTCACGCTTTATGCTTAAATCACTCTGATAAGAACTACAATAATTTTTTTGTTTGGCCATTTCATGGCATCAGTGTTTCACAAATGAACACAATGATAGTAAAGGAATTTAAAATATAAGTATTTAAGAAAAAATAGACTCTATTCTGTAATGAAGATAACGAATTACACATAGTTTCTGTAACTGTTATACTGGTGCTAAAAATGTGAAGCTATTTTACAGGCCAAGTTACCATTCTAGCTTGAGTCTCCAGTGTTAATGCTTTCTCTGTTTTCCTCTTGCTCTAAGCCTGGAAAGCAGAACTTCTGTTTCGACTTGATTTTTGTTGGGATGGATGCGCAGTGAGGTGTTGCAGGCTGGTGAGGAGGAAGGGGTGTGACAGGGGACATTCTGGGGGTTGTTACGTTAGCGCTGCTGCACTGTTCTGTGTTTTGTTGTGGATTTTTCCTCTGAAGTTCAAGTTATGAATTGCTGATGGTTTTAATAGAATTTGAGATGAATGAAAGGGAATGAAATGGCTGTAGCTTCTTATGGAGAAATATGGGGTATCTGCATTCCCAGAAGCCGGGAACTGGCTAAAATAATTTTTCAATGGATCCTTTCTTTTTGTCCTGTACATGTCCCTTGTTTGTCCCAAGTAAAGGCCATTACAGTCTCTTTCCATTCCATTTTTAGTAGATATTCTGGTTTCTCTTGATATGTTCATCCTTGTAGTGTCAACGGGTTTTCCCTCTTGCCTACCCCTTCACTCCTGTTGTAGCCAAGTGCAGTGGAAATAAATCGATCCATGGGACTCTGAGCGCAGCCC